TACACCTGTAAGTGGTGCTGGATTTTCTCCCCTTGATTTAGTAGTGATGGCCCTTATATCATCTGATCCCTGTAGAGTTGACTGCTTATCATCCTTTATCCCTTAGTCAGGTTGATCTTCCATTAATTGACTCAACATCTCCTTAGTTTTCTTCCTGCATTTACTGCATGGCCCACACTTCAAAGGTAGAGGCTCCATATAGTCAATTACATTACTTTCGCAAGTGCAATTCCTTGGATTTATACACATTCTGGAAAGAGAATCAGCATTTCCATGCTTTTCACCAGGCCGGTACTGCACACTGAAATTATATTGAGATAATATTTCTATCCAACGAGCTATACGCCCCGTTGGTTCCTTGAGACTGAAAAGCCAAACCAATGCCTGATGGTCAGTCCTAACAATAAACTCCCTCCCTAGTAAATATTGTTTATAGTACTCAATGAAGTATCTCACAGCTAGCAGCTCTTTATCAGTAATGCAATAGTTCCGTTCAGATTTGTCTAGTGTGTGGCTTCCATAAGCTAAGACCTTTTCCTGTCCATCATGTACTTGACTGAGTATTGCCCCGATAGCATAATCACTGGCGTCGGTATCCAATATGAATTTCCCTTGGTCTCTAGGGTATACCATTATGTCAGCTCCAGTCAATGCTCGTTTTAGGTTATTGAATGACTGCTCACATTCCTCTGTCCAGTTGAATTTGACATTTTTTCGGGTCAGGTCAACCAACGGTTTTGCTATTTAGGAAAATCCTATATTAATTTTTCTGTAAAATTACCTAGCCCTAAAAATCCTCTGATTTCCCTTATGTTCCTTGAAACTTTCATCTGTACAAGTTTTTCCACATTTTCTGGATTAGGAGAGGTCCCCTTTTCATTAATAACATGACCTAAAAATGTAACTTCCTTTTGTTGTAATTGACATTTCTCTGGCTTAAGTTTTACTTTTGCTTGTCTGATACATTCAAATACCTGTGATACTCGTTCTGTATGCTCTTCAACAGATGATCCAAATAAAACTACATCATCTAGATAGATGAGACAAATTTTCCACTGGAGACCTTGAAGTGTTAATTCCATCAGTCTCTTGAATGTCGCTGGTGCACATGAAAGTCCAAATGGCATTGATAAAAATTCATATAACCCATACTTAGTCACAAAGGCAGTCTTTGGAATGCTGCTCTCTCCCATTGGTACTTGGTGGTAGCCTGATGTAAGGTCAAATGTGGAGAAGTACTTGGCACCTGCAACAGCATCTAAGCAGTCATGTACTCTGGGCAATTGGAAAGCGTCTTGATTGGTTACAGCGTTCAGTTTCCTGTAGTCGACACAAGGTCTTATCTTTCCATTTTTCTTAACTACCAGACAGAGAGGACTTGCCCATGGAGATTTAGATTTCCTAATAATACCATTTTCTTCCATTTGAGAAATGATTTTTCTTTCCTTATCTGCAAAGGCTAGGGGTACCCTCCTGGGAGGTTGTCTGATTGGTCTGGTGTCTCCTGTATCTATACTATGTTTAACTAAGTCAGTTAGTCCTAAATCTGAATCACACCTGGCTCCGGGGCCATAAAACTTAGCCAGCTCACTTTTGAGATCAGAATTTGAGACGGTCTCAGATTTTGGTCTCAGTCTCAAGTTAGGTGTGCCATAAAAAAATGTCATCTCAGTCTCAGTCTCAGTTTCTTAGTTTGGTCTCACTTTTGAGCTCAAAAAGTTAGACAACTTAAAAGGTGTCTAACTTCTTGATTTGTGATCTCACTTTCAATATGGCGTCTTCGGCAGCGAAGTTGAATATTTTCAACATCATTCAAAGGCAGAGAAAGGCTCCACGTCCGCGTGTTTTCAGGGATAGAAGTAACCCACTGGAGGATTTGGAGCCGAATGAAGTCTATATTAAATACCGTTTCAGGCCTGCTACCATCCTCTTCCTTGTGGAATTGTTGTACGATGATCTTGTAAGACCAACAAAGAGAAACTCCGCCCTTCCCCCGCTATTACAAGTGCTGGTAGCCCTACGATTCCTAGCCACTGGCTCATTTTATAATCTCGTTGGTGAACCACTGGGAATCGCCAAGTCTTCGACTGGAAGAGCTGCTCGCCGTGTGTGTACCTTGCTTGCGAGTTTCGCGCAGAGGTACATTAAATTCCCTATGGACCTATCTGCATTCAAGAGTAGATTTTTTGATATTGCAGGTACATGTGTTTAACACCCTCTTAATGAAATACAAACTATCATTTCACATTCAACGCGAAATTACTCTGTCTCTGTTTTTAATCATGGGTGCACATATGTCATATCGCACAATACATTGCATGTGTTTTCCCCTTTACTTAAAAAAATAAGCATCTTAATAAATGCACTGAAGTTTAAAAAACAAATAATCTTTATCTACCTTTCGTTATTGATCAGTATCGGCATCCTCTATATACCCGGTAGTTGTTGTTTTCCATCCATAGGCCTACTCCATTGATAAAAGAATTACCACAAGGGGAAATAAATCTTGTAGAAAGTGATTTTTTCAAACCCATCCTAAAAATGTGATAAAATTTAAATAGGCATCGAACACAAATGGCGGCAGACGACTAGTAGTTTATTGAATGATGCATGTACTTTTACCAAAAAAAGGGGGAGAATTAGGGAACCTCCCCCATTTCAGTATTCAGTGACGGAGCACAAAAGTCAATAAAGGATAAATGTCCCCCCTTTTTTTTGCAGTATTCATCGACTGAGCTACCACATAAAAACACAAAAGTTAATAAAAATCGATTTTGAAATTCTATTACAGGGTGCACAAAGAAGTAGGACAGGTTAATGAAAATGGAGATGCTATTAATTTATTCTGAATTTATTTGAAATGATTTTGTTTTGCGTGTAAAATCATCTACCGATAGAATGTAATGTAATGCTTTAGGTATTTGAGGAAAAAAAATTAACTGGAAATTATGTTATAAGCCAAACATTATGATGTTTTTAAATTACGTGCTATTTGTGTTAAAACTTCAGGCCAGATTAAAAAAAAAAAACTTTGTACATTGGTCTCCTTTCCCTCTAGCTGAACTAGAATCACGCTAAAAAATTCTTGCTTGAACGATTGCATTATATGTATGTATTTTTGTTTTGTTTTTGTTTGTTTTTTTTTTCGTCCATGTACCATGTAGTGCCGTTTTACGTCACGTGGTTTTGAGAGAATTAACTTAAATGAACTATATTTGGTTCAAAGGATTCCCAAATGTTGTTGGGTGTGTGGATGGCACCCAGATTAAGATAAAAGCTCCAAAGGATAATGAAGCTGATTTTATAAACAGGAAAGGATTCCATTCCCTGAATGTACAGGTAATATACAAGCTGTGTAATCTAAAACTTATATTTAAGACTTTTTTTATTGTTTGGGTTTACATGTAAAAGAAGATGGGCGAACAAGGCGAGCACAGTGCCTATAGTGCAACAAGCATGAAGGTGAAAAATTAAATCTCAATTAAAACAAAATCTTCTTTGATATTTTGATATTTCGTCTAAAATTAAAGTATACTTTATGTAAAATCTCCACAATTTGCAAAAATCTCACTAAGATTGAAATTGTTTGCCTATGAAATAGCAAACACACGCACTAGAGATGGCAAAAAGGATCATTTTCTCGTACTAAACCACAATTTTTCGATATGAGTGGGTTTTCGCTCCATATTTTTCAAAGTTTAAAAGAGACAGAGAAAAAAAAAACACCCAAAATTAATTTTTTTGTATTTTTAAATTGATCGAGTTAGTCGATAACCTAGCATCGTTTTAGATAACTCGAGATCCTCTAGTGCCGAGACCCTCTAGTGCTCCAGTACAGGGTCGGATTCAGCAGTTTTTGAAAAAGGGGTGGTGGTGGTTCTAGGTCACACTGCAGGCACTATTCAACGGTTTTCAAAGGGGACAACCTCCAAAGAGTGTTGACAAGCAACAATAAATAAATAAATTAAAACAACAACCTGTGCACCACACTGTAAAATCCTATTTCGGGGGGAGGGGGCTTCGTCTAAACTTTTCGGTACATTTTGATTTCTTTTAAGTGTTTGATTGTCCATATTTTGAACCTTCCCGCAACAAAAAGTGCGGGGGAGCTTCCAATGCAAATCAAAACTTATATATTCAAATTATAACAAAAGATTATTTTTTTAAGAAAAAGTGAGCCCCCCCCCCCTCCCCAACATTCTACGGGGACATTTTGAACCTTTCTCTTTATTGATTAAAATATCCCCATAATATAAGGAGAAAAATCTTCTCGTATGGATACTCCATTTCATGACTTTTAATGCATACTTCTTAAAGTTAGTTCTTCAGAAGATGGTCCAAAAATAGCTATGTACGTTCGCCGGAATCTTCCGGTGATATCGAAGTGAAATCTTTCATATTACGTGTGGGTGGTCGAGGCCCGGGGCCGGGGTTGTGAAAGTACAAGGAGAAAAGCAATAAGCAAAACTCTAGAGAGTAGAAAGGGCAGAGATTGAAGTACTTATTTTATTGAAAATACTAGACGTAAAAATATCTATATTGCAGAAAAAAACGCACTCTCTCTTTCTCTTTCTGCAAAAATAAATAGGGTTACAACATCCGAACCCCCCCCCCTTTCCTTTAAAGGACAGCAACTTGTGGTATTTACATGTATATATCTGAAGCTATAGGCATTCTGCGCGCCTTGTTCACCCATCTCCTTTAAGGAAAATGCACACTTTTATGGAGATTTTAAGCTAGTTCCCTTCCTCTCAAATTTCAAAGAGTTTAGATGATCAATTTTCTTGATACTCCAAATAATGCAGTTTAATGATTCTAAATTATCTATTTTTTAAATGAAGTCATTATAGCTATACAGGTCCTGGCATACATAAGATGTACTGGTACTACTTGTTGTATAGCTATATTTGTAGCTGTGACTCTTTGTAAATTTCGTTAAGAATTTGTCCATAGATATAACAATAGATTCAAGAACCATGATATCTATTATGTTATTGCAGATGATATGTGGCCCTGATTTTTCCATCACAAATGTTGTGGCTAAATGGCCAGGATCAGTCCATGATTCCAGAATTTTCAAAGAGTCTGCGTTATGTAGAGAATTTGAAAATGGTACCTTGTTATGACCATCAATTTCTTATTGATTCTTGTCTGAGAATTGCAGTTTTGCATTTCTTATTAAATGATTTATTTTTTTATTTCAGTTATCATTTTCATTTGAAATTTAAAATCATTCAATCTGTTCCTGTTTTGGAAAAAATACATTTTGAAAATCTGAATTTATATGCTTCCGAATATTTTTAAGAGTAGGAATCCAGCTATATTTATAAGAAAACTCTGTATGTACAAAATGCTAGCTAAAGGTCATATACCTTGACTGTAAAAACAATGTAAGTTAATGACAAGCATATAATTTTACCTTTTTTGAAAATCACATAAGGAAAAAAATAATACGGCCATAATTAAATTTAACATCATAATAGAAATTCACTTAATTCCCACTGCAGGACACGTACAAGGAATACTTTTGGGAGATTCAGGGTATGCCCTTAAATCCTACCTAATGACGCCATACCTGAACCCGTCTGAGATTCATATGCAGCGGTTTAATACTGCCCACTGTAGGACAAGAGTGTTGATAGAGCAGACATTTGGCATCATTAAGCGTAGGTTCTCGTGTCTACACACTGAATTACGAGTGTCACCCCAGAGGGCCTGTGTTGCCATCATTGCCTCTTGTGTCTTACACAACATTGGTATTATGCGAGGAGACATTTTGCCAAATGCGGACATCATCATAGTTGATGAGTGGGATGAGGCGGAAGACTTGGGAGGTGATGGCAAAACTGTACGTGACCACATAGCCTTGAATTACTTCTGAAAGTGAGTACAATTCTCTATATTTTCTAAAGCCAACAATTCAAAAGGAATTCAAATACTTATTACAATAATTAATGTGTTGTTTTCATGATGCCATTCTTTTAAAATACACACCATAGTAAATGATAAATACTGAGAGTGATTAACATGGACATCTATTAAAAAATGAAAATAAATTAACATACTGTATATCCAATAAGACATGAAATCTAGGCCCATATAGTTACAATAAAATAAAACTACTACCTCTTAAAAATGCTTACACATGTAAAATTGAACTTTTTTAAGTTAATTAATTTTTTATCAGTCAACATGTTCAAAGCATTTGTTTTCCTATCAGGTCTGACCAGATGAGAATCTGCTTCAACTTTAAAATTTTCAACATTGAATTTATTCATAGTTCTGTAAACTGTGAAATAGATAGACAACTTGATGTCATCAGAGAATTTTTTTTCATTTCTATTAGCTCAATTTCTGATGACACTTTCTTTATTTTTAGTTTGATATATTCCATTTCTAACTTGAGTTTTTCTTTCTCAGCAAATAAAACCTCTACATGTATGTCATTAATGTTATTTTTTCTTTTTCTGGATGTATCTTTAGGAGATGTCTCTGTCTGGAGAGTAGTGGACTGTGCTGTGGTGCAGCTTGATGGTCCTGGTTCGTCTACGTTCATCTCTGTGTTGGTCACTGACTGTTGTTCTAAATTTGACATAACGAAATTTTGTTGATAGAAATTCTATTTCTTGGTATTAAATATATAATACGCCTCTATATGTATGTACATAAATTCGCAATGTTAGTGTATTGTTAGCTTATTCAGCAAAATTAAAACAAATACATTTTATTTATTTTAATTTCCATTAAGATTTTGTTTACTTGGTTGACATAAGTTTGGGATGTTTTGTGTAGATGTTTCTAAACCCCCCTCAACACCCTCCAGGGAGGGTCGTCCAGATAGGAGAGAGAGCACAGCCTCATCTATTGGGGAGGGAGAGGGAGGCTTTGGACCTCCACCTGTTACAGGATACTTCCCCTGACTATTCAGTTTTTTAGCTGCAAAAAATGGCAATAATTGAATATAATAAAATCAAGTATGATATAATGCTAAAAGTTCTTGATTATGACTGAAAGCTCATATCATAGATGTAACCACAGGTAAGTTTGTACCCCCATCCCCACCCCCTTTTCCATCATTTTTATTTTTGATTAACCCATCTTTTTCCCTCTAGGTGTGTAACATACCGGTATATGCCAAAAAATATTATCAATTTTTTTTGCAGACTAAAGAAATAATTAATGATTACCTCGTTGCTTCATGTTTGACCATTGTTTTTTCACTTGTTTCATTGTTCTTCTCTTGGTGGTCCCCTTTCTGAATAAGTATGACAAATATCTTCATTACACTATAGAATAAAAATTTATGGAAATTGCATTAATGTATTATCTCTTTAGGAAAAATGTCGTCACATTTTTTTTTGGGGGGGGGGGGGTGTTATAAAAAGAACAATACCCTGTCTGGTGCCCCAGAGTCCTATTTCAAAGAGAGTTGTCTCTCTTTTATTTTATATAAATAGAACGGTGAATGATAGATATGTTATGTAATTTATGCAGCTTGTATATTTCAATTATTTTTTAAATTACTCTCTCAAAAGTAAATAAAAAATATATTTTATTACATAATGCAACACTCTTGTGAGAATATGTCAGAAATTATATGTAGCGAAAACAAAATTAACAAACAATGTATTGAATTTGTAATAGCCCAATATTTGTCCCTGGCTGAAAGTGGGGGATATTAATTTCGGTCTCTCTGTCGTCCAATACGTCCGTCTGTATGTATTTCTGTCTGTCTGTAACACTTTCGTTTCCACGCGATATCTCAAGAAGCCTTTGAGCTTTTGCAATTAATTTTACATGAGAACTCCCTATGGCCTAAAGGAGACGCCTATTGATTTTGAGGTCAAAAAGTTTAGTAAAGGCTAAACTAGACACTATGTTTTGTGTAAAATTTTGACAATGTAGAACGTGATATAAACATGTACATGTATATATATATGTGACCTACTGTTTGCATTTAATTCATTGGAAAGTAAAGTTCCTCAATGATCTAGGGGTATGATTCTCGCTTAGGATGTGAGAGGCTCTGGGTTCAAATCCCGGATGATTATGTTTTGTTTTGTTTTTTTTTTTTTGATTTACTGAATGATAGTATTTAGCATATGAAATGAAGAAGTTATGGCGTGTACAAACTTTCTCATAAAATCATTATTACAGTGTGATAAATATTTTATATAAAAAGAATCTTCTGTACACATTTTAAAGAAAAAGCAATCAAATCTATATATCCATATTGGCATTTTTTTTAAATTGCTTTAGTACATACATTTAATAATTCTGCAAATGCGGGGGAGGGGGTCGCCCCCCCCCCCTTCTCAATCTGAGCATGCTCTTCTTTTTTCCTTAAACAGGGGATAGAAATTCTCCGAATTATCTTGTTACGAATTAGCAACTGCATGCTGACTCTAATAACAGGACTTGGCATACCTTTCAATTTTACCGAAATTTTCAAAATGAGTAACTCATTAAACATACTTGTATCTTACGGGTTAACGAGTAAGTCTGTCCTCCATAATAATTATAATAATTCTATTTCTTTTTATATATTTTTCCTCAGTGTTCACGTTTGTTAACGTGTATTATAATGTTTGGATTTTATGTGGGGGAGGGGGGGGGGGGTAGGAAGAATAGGTTTAAGAAAAACACCTCTCCGAATTTATAATAATAAAAACAAACAAACAATCGAGTATATAAATAATTATGCATTAACAGAATATTTAAAATATTTTTAGCCCCCCCCCCAAACGTGACGGAATCCGTGACAACGTACACTATATATTAATGGTTTAAATTATCAAATCACATACCCAAACTTTTATCATAAAAAGCTCATATTTTTTATGAGTACTACCCCCACCAACTCCCATTCTCCAAACTTCTTTTTCGCTAAAATGGATCAGCTAAATAAAATATCCCTCTTTTTAAAAATTTGCTGATTGCAAATTATATTAAGTATTATTTTGATTATTCTTCATAGATATTTCAAAGAATTTTTTGTACTTACGCATTGACAATTGCTGTTATCTCTTCCCAGGCGCGATTTTTCTCTGCTTTGCCGCACTGGGCACCTTTAAACTTTGAGTCCAAAACACCTACCCGCCGACTTGCTTCCTCGTATAATATTTCTTTTTCTAGCTTACTCCAGTATGGTTCGTTAACGTTTTTTTCCTCATCATTTTTTGTCAAAAGAAATTCTATATCATTATCTGCCATGTTTCTTTGTGCTGCCTGCTGCTTTAATTAACGTTGATGACGTCAGTGACGTCAATTATTAAAAATGACGTAACAATTAACATATAGTAAGCATAAAGAACAAAAAACAGTCTTTATTTTAAATTTTATTTTAATACTTTTCATTATTGCGCAATTCCTAGTGGGCGTGGCACTGTCACATGTAAACAATATCCCACAATTCATTCGATATCCTGCTCGGTTTTGGTCTCAGTTTCTGTCTCAAGTGAGAAAATTTAAAATGAGCTCAGTCTCCCTTTATGGCACACTAAAAGTGAGACGGTCTAAGTTAAGCCCGGAATCTGAGATTTTTAGATTGATCTCAAAAGTGAGCTGGCTAAGTTTTATGGCCCCGGAGCCTGGAAAAGATATCTGAAAATGTACATAAAACTTTCCTTATCAACTCTATTTCTTCTGAACTCTTGTCTTCCGAGGCTTTGTTAAACATGTCCTGTAAATGTTCTGGAATCTATTTAGGAGTCTTTTCAGTATTTACCTGACGAAGGTCTGACCTATTGATGAGGTCTATTTGCTCTGGTATAGGGATTACGTCTTCCACTTCCTCCGCCTTGCCAATCCAGGTGTCTTGGTAAAGTTGAACAGCGCTGCTTAATGGGTTTAAAATTCTTACCTTACAAGTAACCTCTTCTCTTGTATCAACTAAACAGTTTGCCATCATAACTGGATTTTTCTCCAAGAAATTGATAATTGGTTCTATAAGATAATGTGATGAATTATCTCCCTTTTCACAGCGTTGCACATACACATCAACAATTTTCTCACTGAGTGGAGGAATGTTGTAATTATCTGCCAGTAAGATCATGCGCACCAATAAGGATGATCCTATTCTGATAATTGGCAGTACTTCATGTCCTAGCTCTAAAGTATTTGCTTTCAAGTTGATCTCTGCCTCTCCTATGTCATTGTACATCAAAAAATCAATTCAAATTAACCCTTCATCTTGAATATCTGCAACAATAAACTCAAAACAAAATTCAATAGTATGAAGTTTTATCTTGTAAAGGGCCTTTCCAAATTCAACAAGTGGGTCTCCATTGTCGGAAGTTAGTGGTGAACATTTTTCTAAAACTGGTCTTTCCAGTTCCGGAATTTTGTCATAGACTCTTTTGGAAATTACTGACTTCAATGCTTCCGTGTCTACGGTGAAGAATATCTTAACATTTTCTAGTGTGCCCCTTAAATAGATCCCATCAGTTCTTGGCTGCTGTTTATTGATGGAAAGTTGTTCAGCTTGCATGAGGTAATCTGGCTCTGTCACTCTTTTCCTACTGGTGGGATCATCAGATAAAATATCCTTTACTTGATCCTGGACTCCTTCACCTTGACCTACTTCATCCCCCATCTCTGTCATAATGGCCTCCTCTGTATTATGTCCTATGGAGTGACTTTGGGTCCCTGAGTCTTTAAACTCGACCTCACCTGAATCTGTGACATCCAAGCTCTCCCCTACCTGATCCTGGACTCCTTCACCTTGACCCACTTCATCCCCCATCTCTGTCATAATGGCCTCCTCTGCATTATGTCCCATTGAGTGACCTTGGGTCCCTGAGTCCTTAATCTCGACCTCAGCTGAATCTGTGACATCCGAGCTTTCCCCATCCTGATCTTGGACTCCTTCACCTTGACCCACTCCATCTCCCATCTCTGTCATAATATCCTCCTCTGCATTATGTCCAATGGAGTGACCTTTGGTCCTCGAGTCCTTAATCTCGACCTCAGCTGCACTTGACATCATTTTCAAATAAATTATCATTACAATGACCCACTGATATCTGAGAAGATCCACTTGTGAATTTAGATAGGCCCGTTTCATCACCTGGGGTCTGCTCATGGCCTACCGAGCCGACCCGCTGCAGTTTAACTGTTGTGATTCTCTAGGAATAAAGTCTCTGACATTGGTATTGAAAGCAGTTTGATTTTCTGGTCTTGTAGATGCAAATCCTCTTTGGCTTTCATTAGATCTCCTGTTCACCCTTTGTGAACAATTCTTGGAAATATGACCAGGTTGTTGACAGGTGAAGCAAACTATTTCCCTCTTATTTTCTTTGTAACTAGGCTTTCCTGAGAACTGACTCTTGTCACTTGAGTTCTGCATTTGATCTTTCAAACCAACCAACATATCTTTAAGCATTCCCTCCAAGTCCTGCTTATTCATGCATACCATTCCTGCCTTGTTTGATTGTTCTGATTGATTAAGTTTCTCAGTTTTCTTTTCTCCTTGTCGTCCAGTTTCCTTCTGTTTTTGCTTCTGTCCCACATCATGGTCATTTTCCTGGTGGTCCCTGTTGTTTGACTTCACTTGTCTTGTCTGCTGGTATCTATCACGGTCTTCCTCTTGATGTGTCCCTGTGTTTGTATTCCGAGTAGCCTCAAAGTAATGCACTCCATGGTGAACAGCTTCCACAATAGTGCTTGGCTCCTTGTTCAGCTCTACATGTATTCTGGCATTGTTGTTATGTAGCCCCATCAGAAATCTCCTTAACAGGTTCTCTTGCTTGGTCTCTAGTCCTCTCTTTGGATATGCTTTGTCATATAGGCGCTTCAATTCTGTTGCATATTCCTCGGCAGATTCTCTGTAATTTTGATTCCGACGACTGAACTGGGTCACATTGGCTTTTGTAGTGTCTATGACATCAAACCTTTCTTTCATCTCCTGAATGAGGACTTGATACTTGGAGGTTACTGAGGGTTTAAGTTGACCATAGACAAATTCAGCAGCCTTACCTTGTATTCTAGGCAGCAACTGTTGTAATTTCTCATGTTCGTCTCATTTATTCAGATTACTAACCGACTCAAATCTGTTATACCAGGTTTCGGGGTCACCAACATATAAAAATCTCAGCTCAAATCTCAACCTCAAATCTTAGATTTCTGCCTCACCTGGCTCCGGGGCCATAAAACTTAGCCAGCTCACTTTTGAGATCAGAATTTGAGACGGTCTCAGATTTTTGTCTCAGTCTCAAGTTAGGTGTGCCATAAAAAATTGTCGTCTCAGTCTCAGTTTCTTAGTTTGGTCTCACTCTTGAGCTCAAAAAGTTAGCCAACTTAAAAGGTGTCTAACTTCTTAATTTGTGATCTCACTTTCAATATGGCGTCTTCGGCAGCGAGGTTGAATATTTTCAACATCATTCAAAGGCAGAGAAAGGCTCCACGTCCACGTGTTTTCAAGGATAGAAGTAACCCACTGGAGGATTTGGAGCCGAATGAGGTCTATATTAAATACCGTTTCAGGCCTGCTACCATCCTCTTCCTTGTGGAATCGTTGTACGATGATCTTGTAAGACCAACAAAGAGAAACTCCGCCCTTCCCCCGCTTTTACAAGTGCTGGTAGCCCTACGATTCCTAGCCACTGGCTCATTTTATAATCTCGTTGGTGAACCACTGGGAATCGCCAAGTCTTCGATTGGAAGAGCCGCTCGCCGTGTGTGTACCTTTGCTTGCGAGTTTCGCACAGAGGTACATTAAATTCCCTATGGGCCTATCTGCATTCAAGAGTAGATTTTTTGATATTGCAGGTACATGTGTTTAACACCCTCTTTATGAAATACAAACTATCATTTCACATTCAACGCGAAATTACTCTGTCTATGTTTTAAATAATGGGTGCACATATGTCATAACGCACAATAAATTGTATGTTTTCCCCTTTACTTAATAAAATAAGCATCTTAATAAATGCATTGAAGTTAAAAAACAATTATATATCTTTATCTACCTTTCGTTATCGATCAGTATCGGCATCCTCTGTATACCCGGTAGTTGTTGTTTTCCATCCATACTCCATTGATAAAAGAATTACCACAAGGGGAAATAAATCTTGTAGAAAGTGATTTTTTCAAACCCATTCTAAAAATGTGATAAAATCTAAATGGGCATAAAACGCAAATGGCGGCAGACGACTAGTATTTCATTGAATGATGCATGTACTTCTACCAAAAAAACAGGAGGATAATTAGGGAACCTCCCCCATTTCAGTATTCAGTGACGGAGCACAAGTCAATAAAGGATAAACGACTCCCCCCTTTTTTTTGCAGCATTTATCGACTGAGCTACCACATAAAAACACAGAAGTTAATAATAATCGATTTTGAAATTATATTACACAGGGTGCACAAAAAAGTAGGACAGGTTAATGAAAATGGAGTTGCTATTAATTTACTCTGAATTTATTTGAAATGAAATTTTTTTTGCGTGTAAAATCATCTACCGATAGAATGTAATGTAATGCTTTAGGTATCTGAGGGAAAAAATTAACTGGAAATTATGTTATAAGCCAAACAATATGATTTTTTTAACTTACCTGCTAAATATGTTAAAACTTCAGGCCAGATTTTAAAAAAAGAAAAAAAAATGAAAACTGCATTGGTCTCCTTTCCCTCTATCTAGCTGAACTAGAATCACGCTAAAAAATTCTTGCTTGAAAAAATTTCTTGCTTGAACCATTGCATTATCTGTATGTAGTTTTGTTTTGTTTTGTTTGTTTGTTTGTTTGTTTTGGTCCATGTACCATGTAGTGCCGTTTTACGTCATCGTGGTTTTGAGAGAATTAACTTAAATGAACTATATTTGGTTCATAGGATTCCCAAATGTGGTTGGGTGTGTGGATGGCACTCAAATTAAGATAAAAGCTCCAAAGGATAATGAAGCTGATTTTATAAACAGGAAAGGATTCCATTCCCTAAATGTAAGGTAATATACAAGTTATGTAATCTAAAACTTATATTTAAAACTTTTTTTATTGTTTGGGTTTACATGTAAAGTAAAAGAAGATGGGCGAACAAGGCGAGCACAGTGAATATAGTGCAACAAGCATGAAGGTGAAAAATTAAATCTCAATTAAACCAAAATCTTCTTTGATACTTTGATATTTCATCTAAAATTAAAGTATACTTTATGTAAAATCTCCACAATTTGCAAAAATCTCACTAAGATTGAAATTATTTGCCTATGAAATTGCATACACACACTTGAGATGGCAAAAAGGATCATTTTCTCATACTAAAACAGAATTTTTCGATATGAGTGGGTCTTTGCTCCATATTTTTCAAAGTTTAACTTCAAAGTTTGCGTTTTGTCAACAAAAACATGGAGCAAACACCCACTATACCTTAAAAATACACTTTTATGACACAACATTCGCATCTTTACGAGAAATACTTGAAGCCCATTTAGTCAAGAGTCATATCACAAACATGATTTAAATGCTACAATTCGTCAAGAGCTGTGTAGCGTAATGGTGAGCGTGTTAGTCTCAAAGGAAAACGGTACTCGAGATTTATATTGCCAGAGTTCGAACCCCACGAATACGACATAATTTATTTCATAAATTTCAATAA